AGGAGCTGGGCGCCCGGGCGGCCGCGCGCGGCGAGTGCACGCGGGACCCAGCTAGGGAGTGGAAAGAGCGCGGGCCTTTGGAGTACACGGGAACCTGACGCCCAACCTGATACCCAAACCTCGTTTCTTTATTTGGCTGTGGGCCAAATAATAGTGTCCACCGTGCAAAAGATTATAAGAATTTGAGAGGCTCCTGGCACATAACGGGCCTTCAGTGAAGGCTTAAATTTCCCTCCACATCGGGTTCATCGTCAGTGCTCCCCTGCCAGTGAGTAACTTCCTCTACCCATCTTGCTGCCCAAGCGTGAAATCTGGGTGGTAACCCTCCATCCGGAGTCCTCTACCCCACCCACCAGCCGGTGAATCACCACAGGCTGCATGTTCTGTCCTTTTTAGCCTAACCTAGAAGACTGCTTCCATCGCCACACTCCCCACAAACACTGTAAGCGATGTTTTTATTCTAAAAGAGTTTCAGAATATTTTACTATAGATTTTCAGAAAAATTGTGGAGATAGTACAGAGGTCCCATATATCCCGCACCCAGTTTCCCCTGTTATCAACATCTGACATTAGTATGGCACATTTGTCACAATTAATAAACCAATATTTATACGTAATTAACTGAAGTCCATCCTTTATTCAGATTTCCTTAGTTTTTTCCTGGTCTAGGCTCTCATCAGGACACCACATTACATTTAGGTGCCTTGTCTCCTGAGGTTCCTCTTCGCTGTGACAATTTCTCAGTCTTTTGTTTTTGATAACCTTGATAGTTTTGAGCCGCCGGGTCAGGTGTTTTGCAGAATGTCCCTCAGTTGGGATGTGTCTGATGTTTTTCTCAGGAGCAGAGGAGGGTTGTGGGTTTTTGGGAGGAAGGCTACAGAGGTGAAGTGCCAGTCTCATTGTATCATATGAAGAGTACATGCTGTCGGCCCTAGCTGGTTAGCTCAATTGGTTGCCTGTATGCCAAGGTTGGGGGTTCAATTCCTGGGCAATGCACATGCAAGAATCAACCAGTGAATGCATAAATAAGTGGGACAACAAATCCGGGGTTCTCCCCCCGCCTGGCCCTTTTTCCTCTCTCCCTTTCTCTCTCTCTAAAATAAATAAATTAAAAAAAAGAGTACATACTATTCACATGACTTATCACAGTTGATGCTCTCTTTGATCACCTAGCTGAGGTAGTGTTTGTTAGGTTTCTTATCGTAAAGTTATTGTCTTTGGAAGGAAGTCACTGTGCACTGCCCACACTTATGGAATGGAGAGTTCTGCTCTGCCACCTTGAGAGCAGACTGTACACATAGTTTATTTGGAATTGTGCATGGAAGATTTGTCTTTACTTCCCAATGCATGTTTATTTATTCAGTTATTTATATTAGTGTGAGTTCATGGATATTTATTTTATACTTTCGGTTATAATCCAATACTACTTTTTTTTTATTTTATTGCTCACCTACATTCACTTTTGCCCTTCCAATCCTTTTTCTGTTTCATAATGATCTTAAAAAAAAAGTTAAGCATCTGGTCACGCACCTCTTTGCTTAAAACCCTGCACTATCATCCCTTTACTCTTAGAACGAAGTCCAAAAATTCATAACATTGATCTCCATGGTTCTGAACAATCTGGTCCTAGTGTGTGTCCAGCTTCAGGTCCTGCCACTCACTGTCTGCCCTTTCCAGCTTTAGTAGCCACACCCCTCCTTTTTTCCAGATCTTCAATGTTGTTATGTCTGCCAGGAATGTAGCCTCCTTCCCCATTTATGTTCATCTTCATATCTTAAATGTTAGGTCCCCAGAGAAGCATTCCCTGACTATTGCTTTCCCCTTAACTGTGCTCTCATTGTACCCTCTGCTTCTTTATGGAATTAGTTCTTTAGTGTGTGTCCCCATTGGGGTGTAATGCCCAAGTGGTTGGGCTTGTCTTAATTAAGGACCACCATGTCCTGAGCACTGTGCCACTGTGCTTACTAGGCACCCAATAAACATTTGTAGAATGAATGAATAGCTGTAATAAATTCATTACAGTCAAGAATTTATTGGCTGTAAAAAGTCCAGTTGTATCTAACTGAGATTGGAAAAACTGAGAGACCTTAGGTCTCATGGTATATTCCTCTGCTTTCAAGCAGTGTTGTGCCATACCATTTTGAACTGAGGTGCTGCTGACTTGACTTAAGTGGGAAGAAGTTCCAGAGCCTTGGTAACCCAGGCCAGGGCTTTACAACTTTCATTAAACGAGGTTATTAACCCAGATAACTTCCTGTTTTGCCTTAAGCTCTACTCCCTTTCTGTTACCTGTTTTGCACTGTAAATATTGACATATAAAACTTTTTCTTCATTAGGATCTGTCTTTCTGGGTAAATGCCCATAGGATAGCTGTTTCATTTGCATCAGTACCTGTAATAGGGACTCTACTTTTTCTTACAAGTAGTCTTCTTTAGATTGATATTTTCAACTAGGTAGGGGTCCTAATTTACAGAAAATTTTAGTGTGCTTTTCTGTTCCCATTTCACTCCCCTCCCCCTCTATTATCTGACTCACTTCCTGTGTCTGATGGCAGATTTCCTATCATCCTGGAAAACAAAGGTCAATTAAGCAAGCATCCAATGTTTACTAAAATGTAGTTTGTTCATGTTATTTTAGTTATGATGTATAATGAGGCTTCTTTTTTAAAAAGTGGGAGGGCACAAATTTATTTCTTCTAGTGGAGAGTTCTTGACTCAGTACTGTGTACATATTAAAAAGTATGAATCCAGAGATGTCCAAAGGAAAAATCTGTGGCCACTTTTACTGGAATGTGAATGGCACATAGAGACCTTTTCCTTTTTGAAGATCATACATTCCCATTGTGTGGTCTTTGATAGTAAGTCGTTGATGAGTGCTTACTGAATTAAAACAGCTACGATAAAAGCAGCTGGTGGAAAAATTACCTTTAAACTAGTTTAATTTGAGGTACATCTGAGAGCTACAGTTGGAAACCTGACAGTTATTCAGAATAACTGCAGAAAGGTGTGCACACGTAGGGTGGTCATTAGGTTTCTGGGACAAGGGACTGTAAGACAACTGACATTCAGTACAGAAGAAAGCATGGATGGATTCTGTGTTATATACTCTTAACACTGTTCTCTGTTGTGTTACCACAGATTTATTAAGCAGTTGAATTAGTGTCTGCCTTCTCTTTTAGGATATGATGAGCTTGGGGAGGGCAGGGCCTATAGCTGTCTCGTTCAACGTGACCAAGTTCTAGCACATGAACAGATTAGGCTCTCAACATATTTACTGAAGAAATGAAAGTGTAAAAGAATGGAAACCATTTTGGAAGTGTGGTAAAAGGGAGCTGTGCATCTCCTGTATATTGGAAGGAGACTTTTGTATTTTGAATGTGAAGATGTCAGGGTGTTACTGGGGAGACAAGACCTTGGTTCTTGACTTCCTGAAGGAAAGAGTTCAGTCAAAAGACAAAGTGCAGAAAAGCAGCAAGAATTTATTGGCTGCAGCAAAAATATACTTAGGACAGTGAAACAAAGAAGGGCGTAGAAGAAGCAGTAGGAGAGCCTAGGCTGGGCTGCTTTGAGAAGTCAGAGAAAAGGGGGCCTTGGAGACAGGTTCAGGGGTTAGCTGCCCATTGCTCCCTTGGTTGCAAGTCTCGCTGGGGTCCCTTAGAGGGAAGAAGGGAAAGGGAATGGCGGGGGCATGCTCCACTGGGGGAGAGCCATCGTGGGTCCTTCATCCTGAGTGTGTTTCTCTCTCTTGAAGGTGGAAATCTTAGGGGAGGTCTCAGGGGAGGGCCTCAATAGAATATTCATCAGCTTTACTAGTGTGTTCTTTTGGGGTCTTGGTCTCCACTGATTGGTCAGCACCAGGGCTCATTAGTCAGTGCAGCTGGTCCTGAGGCATCCAAGTCACGACTTGTCTGGTTTTGCTGCTTTTCTGGGCCTGGAGCTGAAATACAACTGACATTCCTCTCCTCTCCCTATTTTTTGGACAGGTGATGTGGTTGAAGGTTTTTCCCACTTATCTAAGGGAGAAACTTTTACTGTGATTTACCTAATCTAGGGAAGGCATAGTTTTAATTGATAGTGTAGCAGCTAGTTTCAAGTTGTATCATTTTTTCCCTTCAAATTGTATCATTTTGCTTCAGAGAGGAAGTGTTCTGTGAGATATCTTGTTTGGTTTCAGGAATATAATGTGGTGAGTTTTTTCTGCTATTATGGT